ACTGTAAATTTATAACATTTAAAGGGTTTTGACCCATCTATTTTGGTGGCTCAATACATGTATACCTCGTAAGTATTAACCACAATGTTCTTTAACCTTAATCAACATTTTAAATTCAACGTTCTTTTAATTAAAGTGGTTATTTACTTTCAGGTTTGCACTGATGATGGATTTAACAATCCCAAAACGTTTTGCAATATTTTTGTGATAGCCCGTTTGGGCATTTTATTATATACCTTTTATTATAATGATTTTAAATAAATTTTTGAAATAAGTGGGACTTGCTGTCGCCATGAGATGCGACGGACGACAGATTAAAATAAAGGCGGCCATGCACGAAAACCATCTAAATGAATTTAGATTTTATAAGTAGTGATATTTTTTATTTAATTTTCAAAGTAATTTTGTTTGGATTATTTTGGTGGTTCTGCAGCTCCGCAGCACTTATATACCAACCGCCACTGGTCATTACAGTTGTAGCAATTAATCAAATCTAAAACATCGAATATCTCAAAATAGGGATTTTGTCAGTTTCGACTTCTATTCTTAACAGGGCAGTATAGGTTTGATGGGTTTTAAATTATTTTGTTAGGATTATTTGAGTGATATTTAATTTTATTTGGGGTGGACCCGCCATTAAAGTTACCAAAAATGACATTTGCTGTAGCAGATTCTTTTTTCTTTTGTTTTAGAATTATTAAGCCAACTCTAAACATACATAAGTTGGTAACTACCGAACTTAATAAATTTTTTTACAAACTTCTGTTGTACTGTGATTATTTAAAAATTTTTCGCGAAGATATTTAAAGAAGTATTAAGTACTATTTCTTAATTATTTTAATACATAGTAGGTTAGCTGTCAATCTATCTTTTCTACCAAGGAACTCCGTATATAAAACAACTTCATCTTAATAACTTTTTCTATATAAAACATAAAAAAACCTTATAATAATCCTTTATTCGACAAGACTCATCGCTTCTTCCTTTCTTTATTTTTCTAGTAATAGATAACATATTAGGATTATAACTGTTTCTAAAGTCTTGCTTAATGCTATTACCAGAAAAACTTAATTTAATATCTTCCAGATGCTATTCACGTATGGTGAGAATACATGCCACTTAGGTAAAGCTTGAGATTTTTCGTGCTGAGTCGAAGATCATCCGCGATCCAAAGTAAAACCAATTTATTCATCCATTCTTACATGCAAGGTTCATTTTTGGCTTAAATATTCCACCAAATGTAAACAAGTATAACATGACATGTTATATACATTATAACATATGAAATACATGTAATGAAAAAACTTAACTGGGAAGAGAAAGGCGCTAGAATATTAACAAGTTTGAAATTCGCAGACGACATAGTTTTGTTCTCAGACAACCTCAAGGAAATATGTACAATGCTACATGAACTTCAGTTAGTGTGTGCCAGTGTGGGTCTTAAAATAAATATCCCCCAAAAAAAATTCATGACAAACCTAGTACCTAGCGGAAATATCAATATTGGAGACAACGAAGTAGGGCTGGTGGAAAAAGACATATACCTTGGACACGAAATAAAGATCACAAGAGACAACCAAATATGCGAACTACGAAGAAGAATAAACCTAGCATGGGCAGTCTACGGAAAACTCAAAGACATCTTTAAAAGCGATTTACCAGTTTCTTTCATTTTTATTTCATTTGATCAATGTGTGTTGCCTGTGCTGACCTGGTGCCGAAACTTCGAGATTGTCAGTTACGACTTCTAAAACGCTGCAAAAAGCTCAGATGACGATGGAAAGGTCAGTGCTGAGCATATCGCTTCGTGACCGTTTTGCATCTTCTTTTGATCTCTCAAATTGACATTCTCAGCATAATTCAGCTTGTTCCTATGATGTTTAGAGATTCACAGATCATCGCTTTATCCCAAACCGGCCTTCGTACATGTTTTTACTATATCATGCATTTCCAAATCGGGTACAAACAATTGAGGCGTTTATGTTAGAAACAACTAAGTCCATAATTTTGATTTGATTTTGTAGAAAATGAAAAAAACGCTCTCTCGAGTTTATTACCATATTTCGAAAAACTTTTAAATTGTACAGTGACGAATATAAGTTAAATAAATGTTTTCTCTAAAATCTCATGATATTAATAAAAAAAAAACAAAAATCTTGGACTTGTTGTTTTTAAAAGTTTTTATTAGATTTTAAGTTACAAACAATAATTAGGATTCGTCACAACTACTACTGTTGTCATCTTCATCGATTTCTAAGGCATCATGGCTCTGCAGATTTTGTCGTGTAAAAATGCCTTCATAAAAGCTTCGATTGTTTGCATTTCTTAAATATGGTAAGAGATAGCTTGCAAATAACTTGGTGTGAGTTATATTAAACTAGTTGTTGCTACTTAACTTCTGACAATAGAGGATCTCCATGGACCATTGTAGGTATCTTTTAACTTCACTACAGCAGTCTCTGCAGTTATTTCGAACATGCGTATTAGTTTTAGAGAAATTGGCGGTTTAGCCGTTTTCAGAAAATATTGGTCGGTGGCTAGCTTTATGTCAAAAAACTTTGAGGGGTACATTTTGACTAAGGAAAATTTGGAGGGTTTACTTCGTGCTGACAATATCACTTTGTCCACTCTTCAGGCGTCTCTACTCTCTCCAAATGGCGAATCTTTTTTTCGATCAATGCGAAGTCCTGGTCGTTTGGGACATAGGAATGGCCCCGAACCGGAAACAGGTACTTAATTGTGCCAAAAAGTTTAAGTACATGGACAAGAATAAATAAAAAGTGTAACATAACATAATTCTTGTTTTGCCCAGGACATCCATCACTTATTAGTACAAGATTCCTGGTCGTAAAGTTATTATTGTTAATAAAATGTAACATGGAACATACATCGTTGGCACCTTTTTTCGCTTGTCCTTCAGTGTAGGTGTAAATAAATACCTCATCTGTACCAAGATTGTGTATACTGAATACGTGGTACCAAAACTGACGTGAATAAAAAGCTGGATTTGATGGAATATAGGAAAGAGGTAGATTCTGCTTGAAATCAAAGCTAATATAATCGATTTCTCCAGCCATAGCTTGTGTCTTGTATCGTCTTTTCCTTGTAAAAAATGCATCAGCCTTTCTTAAATGAATCTCCTTTTCCATTGTTATTTGGACTTTTTCTGCATCGTTGATTCCTTCGGAAGTCATTTTTTGTTGGAACGAATCACACTCAGCACATGTATCGGATCGTGGGAAGCCAAACTTTATATTAAAGTTGGATGTAAATATTTTCCAGTAGATTTTATAAGGGATATTGATCAGGTATTCAGATCGAAACATGGAATGCGTGTCTCTTATGGTTAAACCTTCCGGCAGGTAAAAACGAAGTGGGTTTTTGCGTCGTGAGTAATGGGATTGCCTTGTTTTAAAAGACTTAATATGTTCCTTTATTAAATGAATTACGATATCTGAACAATCAGTTGATCTTTTCTTATCTTTTCCTCTTAAATCCCTTGGCGCCATACCTCGTGTGACCAAATGGTTTTGTATGCGTCTAAGTCTACCAACAGTTATACCATGAATGCCCAAAAATGCCTCTTTACAGACTTCTATTTCCTTTCCTTCATATCTTATTTTGAATGCATATCCTGCAGCATGTGGTTTTTCAGTACTCACATTTCTATTTCTCATTTTTATTGTTCATATTATAAAATTGTTGGAATAAAACATCGAGCAAAAAGACAATAGAGGGAATGTAAAGGTAGTGGGGGCAAACATATTGTTAGACAGGAAGTGCGATCTTTAGAGGCTACATTAAACAAGGAAAGAGAGTCTTTCTCCTTGTTTGACATCAAATTTAGTTGGGTTATGTTATTGTTTGTCCCAAATGTCACATGAAATCTTATTTATATTGAAGTTTTTTAACAATTGTGTCGCATTTTAGACTCTTATCATTAATAATTAATTAAAACTTTCTCGTCTAAGACACATTCTGAAAAATATATAGCTACTTTTGATAAGTGTCGGAAAATTTAAATTTCGCGCATTCGCATTTCCGGATATGTCCGCCATCAGAGGCCACTTTTTTGGTCTCCTTTTCATAAGGATTAGATTCCCTCTTTTGTCTTATTGCTCGATGGAATAAAACCACTTTTATTTTCGCTACTAATATTGTTATATTTTTATTATAGTTCTAATTTATTGTCTTTATTCTAATTTATTAAAACTCATGATAATTTATTATCAATTTATTAAATAATTGTACAACTATATATTACGTTCGTACATTTAAATACGCGGCACGAATTTATCCTCTTACTGACTTCTTCCATAAAACTAACTAAAAAATAAAACTAACTAATAAAACTACTAAATTTGACAAGTCTCTGCCTGCCTACACAGGGAGAACAGACCGATGAGAATGAGAACTCGCCGGCAATGCGTGCCGAAGTCGTTCGGTACTTACCAGTGGGGTGTTCTCTCGGCGTTTCTTTTAAAAACAACATTAGTACATGGACTTATGTAGTTTTTAAAAGAAACGAATAGGTCATATGTCGTTTTTACAGAAATACGGATATTTTAGTGCCACATATCGGGGGATATGTGATGTTTTTGGGAGAAACGAATAGTTCAGTGTCTTTTACATGATGACGCCACAATCGCGTTTTCGTAAATTTTGGATTTATGTTGTTTCTAAAATAAACGCCTCAATTATTAACAAATTATATAGTTTAAAATTACATATTCCAACAGTTAAATAATAAATTTAATAATAAAGTTTTTTTCCAAATCTTTATTAATTATTCCAGCCGAATCGCTATTTTGGTGGGATGAATTGGGACCGCAGTTAATTTTTGGGATCGGTCGATGTGGCAACAGGGTCTAATGCACCTCGCGTCGAGAGGGGGAGTGACGTCACGGTGCAAGTCCTCCTCTGACCCCTCACCGGGCAGGCGCAGCAGCACCTTCCCGACAACATTCGAATGCGACTGCGATAACTAGTGTGTTCTCAAAATGGCAGACGGGTTGTGTACGGATGATCCGATCGGAGATGTAATCGAAAAAACTGCATCGAATGCCTGTGACAATGCCGTATTATGTGAGACAACTGACAGTATAACAGATTCTGGTGGTGATAAAGTGAAAGACTTTTTGATAAAGAGTGAGAGTGGTGAGATTTTCAATAATTTGTGTGCTGGAGACGGAGCCAAACACGAAGGGATTTTGGAGGAGGACTGTAGGAAAAAGAGATGCGTGGATAGATACGACAGCTCTGAATCTTCTGACAGGTACTTTTTACACTTATTTGACCAGTATTACCTAATGTCTCATTCATGTTTTTCCTTTGTCTAGATTTGTTCATTGTTGACAATTGTCTCAAAAAGTGAAATTGACTAGAATCACCTGCCTAAACACTCCTTAAAGTATCTATATAACAACTAAAAACGAACGAATCAATTTAGTCCTACTTTTTTCACATGACAAACAGTGTTTAGCTCTTGATGTAGTAAAAATTGTTTTCTATTCAATAAATCAAGTAAAAAAGACATTTTGTCATTATAACTGTCAAGCAATTTGCTCGGTACCTTATTACAGTAACAATTTTGTTTATTTCGGGCAATTTTGCAATGGTTCATGATCTTGGCCTTTACCTTAACCGAATTTAATTGAAATCGACAGTGTACTGGATTTTATACTTTCACGATTACTCCGTTCTCGGAAGTCAATGACATTTTTATTTACGTTTTTATTTGTTGGTTGGTGTTGTTTTTTTCACACGTTTGTCAACATTGTAAGAGTTGGTTTATGTTTTATTTACACTTCTTGTTTTTTTGTACGCTATATAGACTACTGATATGCAATGTTATTGGTAGAAAATGAAATTGATTTACATATGTTAATTAATAAACTTAATGATGCAGTATAAATATGGAAATTTATAGTCAAAGACAAAAGTATAGTGGGGTGAGATTTGAGCAATTTGAGGAAAGATGAGGATGATTTAGGTGACAAAATTATACTACTGGATAAACTTTGATTTGCTTTGTTCTTCTGTTATAGTTGGTCAATTCTTTTATGATAGACAGACACAAAGATATTTTTTAAGTTTTTTTTTCAATTGGAAAAATTGTCGAGTATACTTTATTTGGAAATGCGTGATAGATCGGAATGCATATATGAATGGCGCCTGATCACGTTAGAAAGTGACGCCTTCTATACATCAGGGCCGGACTTATCTGTTGATCTGGTAAGTAACGTTCCCGATTAGTGCGCTGCTTTTTTAGACATGCATGTCAAGTTTTAGCTTGATGCAGCCATTAGTCTTGTTCTTCTTCTTCCTCTTAATAAAAAACTCTAGAAACTGCAGAAATTCTTCCAACTGTTCCTTGATTGGCTGATTTTAGATTACCAACGAATCTAAGAACATATGAAAACATACGTTTCAATTTTGAAAAGGAAGAAAATCGATTACAGAGATTATCGACAAATTCATCAAATGGAAAAGACAAAATACAACTTTTCTGTTTCAATTCCACATTATGTTCTATAGAATCGGGCAAGGAGAATGACCAGTTTTCTTTAGTGGTGCGAAGAAACTCCAAACCCACCCACCAAGCAGGAGTATTTAAAAAATCTTAAGGGAAAAGTCCATGGGATCCCTGATCAGCACTATTTAATGAAGAAGGAATATATCGCCAGTGTTTTGAAACAACCCTGTCTTGAATGTAAGAAATTCTGCTCAATAGGAGGAAGAATAGTTTGTACTCTGGTAGGAGATACCTTTGTTCGGTATACTAAGAGAAAATAAGTTTTGATGACTACTGTATCATAACAAAGACGAAGGTATATTACGGCAGAAGATCCACGCAAAGAGGCGTCGCAAAACAAACAATTCCATTTAAAGGAATATGACGAAGTATACAAAAAATTAGACAGTATAGACAATTAAATTTTAAATTGTTCCTACCTTGAAGTAATTTCCAAAGGTGGAAATTAATTAAGTTCCTAATCTAAATCAACTAGCCAAAGACGCTGAATAATAGTATTCACTATAAAAGTGACAGGATTAAGAATACCATAAGGATCGAACATACGAGCTATTTGGCTTAAGATATTTCGCTTTGTAGAGGAAGCTAGAAGAGGCAGAATGATGGCCTGATGAAGGCAGATGATCAGATTCCATCCTAATACCTACAACGACGATTGATCTAATTCAAATAAAAAAGACTGTTGCAGAATATGATCAGAGTGACAGAGTGCAGCATAATCGACTTAAAGAAATTTTATTAAATAAAAACAGTAGAAACATTAGAATCATCTGTAACCTCTATTGGAATCAAACAGCAAAAGTGAAAGTTGAAAACGAACTGACCAAGGATATCCAGATTCGCCGTGGGGTCCGCCAAGGGTGTATTTTATCACCCTCGTTATTCAATTTATACAGTGAAGCCATCTCAGAATTAGCGCTTGCCGAGATCAGTGAGGGCCTTATAATAAACGGTGAGCTACTTAATAACATAAGATATGCTGACGACACCGTCCTTTTGGCAGGAACACTAGAACTGCAACACCTTGCTGAACAACTAAATATATATTGCAACGATTATGGACTAAAAATCAATTAGAAGAAAACCAAGTTCATGGTATTTACAAAAGCACAAAACATCAAAGTTAAGCTAGTACTAGATAATACAGAAATTGAACAAATATCTTCGTACAAATACCTTGGAGCATGGATCACAGAAGATACTGATCAGACAAAAGAAATAAGATGCCGCATTGAAATTGCGCGGTCAACTTTTAATAGAATGAGAAAACTTTTTTGTAATCGCGATATCAATATATCGCTCCGGATAAGAATGCTTCGATGTTATATTTTCTCTACCCTTTTGTATGGAGTTGAAGCTTGGACACTTAAAAAATCCAACATTAAAAACCTAGAAGCATTCGAAATGTGGTGTTACCGACGCATTTTGAAAATATCATGGATGGATCGCAAAACAAACGAACAAGTTCTTGAACAACTAGGAAAACAATACGAAGTTTTAAATTCCATAAAGATCAGGAAATTGGAATACTTGGGGCACATCATGAGAGACGAACTACTAAGGAATATAATGCAGGGTAAAATCAAAGGTAGAAGAAGCGTAGGAAGACGTAAAATCTCGTGGCTACGCAATCTCCGTGAGTGGTTTGGATGCAGTTCAATTGAACTATTCAGGCGAGTAACCAATAAAATTATAATTGTCAGAATGATTTCCAATCTCCGATAGGAGTGGAACTTGAAGAAGAGGAAGAAGAATATGATCCAAAGGAATATTGGCTAGAGACAATACTTGAAGAGCAAATCCACCACGTTTCAATAAAGATATTAATTATTTTATAAGAACACTATTTTGTAAAGAATCCTCTCCTCTCACTACATCATCTACGTAAGTATCATCCAGGAGTATAGATGAGATCACAGGTCCAGTTCCTCGAGTGCTAGCTGCTGTAGAGTACGAATTGCAAGATATGGTTAGCTAGACACACTAAAAGCATTCGGAGTAAGTTCATATTCATCAATAGATTCCTGTTCTGGAAAACGCTAAAGTATTCTTTGAAATATTTGTTGCTCAGGAGCGTTAACAATATATGTAAATATGTATTTAATATCTGCAGTGAAGACATACTCATAAAATCTGAATTTAAGCAACAAATTTACAAGCTCATTTTGTAATTTTGGACCTGGATATAAGGTATAGTTTAAACACGGAAAGTTAGGGGCGTGTGCGGAAGCATCAAGCACAACGAACAATTGAGTAGTACTGGACTCCTTGTAAATACAGTGATCTGGTAGATAATACGCACAATTTATTGACGCACTTGGCTGAATGGCTGAATCTATGAAACTTTTGATAAAGTTTGTATCTTGAATCTTAAGTATTGTTCTGAAGCTATTTTCTTGTGGCATTGTAAATTAATTACTATTTATAACTGGGAATAAGCCACAATTAAAGATAAAAAATACGTTTATTGACGTTTCAATTTCCAATTCGGAAATCGTTCTCAAAATACAAACAGTAAATTAAACAAATTTTGTTTTTTGTTACATAGTGAAAAAATTCTTCTAATAATTTAATTTTATCTGACTCATTTATATTGACAATTCAGACATACATTATGCATTTTAAAGTAGACGACTTTAAAATGATATTGCCAATATTGTTGAGTTGCGCTCCTGGGACGACTTTACTATAAGATAGTTCATTCGATTACATGAAATCAACTTTAACTTGAATTTAAAAGAATTTTTTCACTATGTAACAAAAAACAAAATTTGTTTAATTTACTGTTTGTATTTTGAGAACGATTTCCGAATTGGAAATTGAAACGTCAATAAACGTATTTTTTATCTTTAATTGTGGCTTATTCCTAGTTATAAATAGTAATTGAATCTTAAGTGATTCATTTTTGTCAAATCTGCGTTCTAAAGCACTAAATCTTTGTAAGGTTAAACATTTTATGTCGCCAAAAGAAGGAACAAATCTGCCCTCTGTATTTCTAGTAGTATGAGACTATAATATATGTATTTCTCTTCCATTCTGGTTATGTGGTTATACCATTCTTTTTTTCTATTTTGTGTTCATTCATTGTAACGTACATTATACGTTACATTTTCTGCTGATGTCTTCACTTCTCTTTCGATCTCTCAGCGTATTTCCTGTAATTCTTCTCAGTACTCTCATCTCTGCCGTTTCCAGTAGCCTTTGGATTGTGACTGTTTCAGGTCTTGTTTCTGAGGCATAAATGTCATTATTGGTCTTACACTGGATTTATAAATTCTTAAATCCTGTTAAGTTGTAAGAAAAAATACTTGCTCTTAATAGACCATCAACTTTGCTAGGAATACTCGTTATTTTATCAGCTAACTTTAAGTGTTGAAGATGTGGCAAGTTGTCTAAGGAAATTGGAGCAGTTGGCATGTTTTGACAGCTTTGTCATAAGAAGAAGAAATATTCAACTTTGCGCCTGATTTGGCTGGAGTGCACATTCAATCAAGACTCTGTATCGATAAAGACGCATTCATTTTAGGGAGACAACATATTATTTTACTAATGAAGTTAGCTTGGCATAGAAGTTGCAGCGTTCCGGGAAGGAATCAAAGTTCTAAATATTAACAACAATTATACAGAACAACTAAAATGCTTACTAATAATTTAATATAAATTACGCAAAAATCAAGTTGACTGGCACAAAAATAAGGTAAATAAAGCATTTACAACACCAATTAATTACTATTATATAA